TCCCCCCCCCCCCCCAAACCAGGACAGTGCTGCTGACTGAAGTGTCTTTGGGCCATTCACAAAGGAGGGATATTAACATGTTCAATGTGTCGATAGTGCCGTAAAACATCTACCCAATCAATCAATCAATCAATCAAACATGTTCTTATGCACAGTAGAATTGTAAATGGAAAGACTTATCAATGTCATGCTCATACTGTACCGGAACAACATAGGGGGAACTGCTGCTTTTTCTTTCCTCATCCTTACTGTCGTCATTTTGCCTCTACTTCTGTTGTACGTTTGTCACACTCTTATGAACTGCTCTTTCGGGGGTGCCTTGATAGTCGAAGCAGACTTTGTGCTGTTGAGGCTAAAGAGGTGAGCAGAGTAAGCCTGATTCCCAGTTTGGACTTCTCTGTTGCCATCCACCCCTTGGCGCTCATATGGTAGCTTTTAAGGACAAGCGGGCTAGCCCAGATTTCGGGGCTTTCCAAAAATCTGGACCTAGGTCAAAAGGTGTGTATATTTGTTTGGTTAAAGAGAAAATTCTCCTTGTCTTTTAAAGAAACTGAACAAGGGGCAAAAATTTTACCTTCAATTTTCTCAATACAGCATTTTTCAGGATAGCCCCCATGCGCTTAAAAGCGACCATTTTATTATGACCTTATGTGGTTGCAAGCACCGTGTAAAACCCTTACTAAAACTAAAACTTTCTCTTTGGCGGTAAAACGTGGCACACATAAGTTTTGTGGATTTTTTCGTTTGGCGGGTCAGGTGTGACGTTCCTGGTTCTGAAGGCCGAGTGGTACCCCCGGGCCAACGCCGTGTCCAGCGCTCTGTTTGACCAGTGGTGGCTGGACGTGGTGCTGAGACTGGTCAGTCCCGGCTACAGCGTGGCCGACGCCTTGTACACGTACTGCACCGTGAGCCTCACACACACGCACTGCTCACCCCTCATGCACCTGTGTCTCCAGCAGCCGTCACTCATGTGCTGCCCCGCCGCCTCGGACAAACGGCGTGAGTAAATTTACGGTACCTCACCCCCCCCCTCCCCTCCCACGGGACGGCGTTCGTTCGTCCTTGTCTTCGAGGGTGGTTGACGGGTGCTCTGGTGTGATTTGCTCCTTCTTCCCTATAAATCTTTCCCACAGACTGACTTTAAAAATAAAGTTTAAAAAGCTACACCTCCAGTCTGAGGGAGACTCACAATCAAATCAACAATGAACTACACAACAAAAACGTGGTCCACGAAAACTTTCGGGCCTCTCCAGAAAAGACGAAGTCATTTTTACTCGATTACACATCGGACACACGACCCTGACACATAAATATCTCCTTCAGGCAGATATGAGAAGCCGTTCTGTGTCGGATGCTAACCAGATTTTATCCTTCGACACATTTTAACAGAATGTCTGAACTTCGGAGAGACCCGAAGAAAATATTTTAAATACAAAAAAATTGCAAGATATGTTTTGTTTTCCGTCGTTGATCCCAACAGAATCCTTGTTGAGGTGTTGAAGCGTACTTTGTGTGTGTTACTCTCGGTCTCTGTGTGGGTCACTCTCTGTCTCTGTGTGGTGTTGAGGTGTACTCTGTGTGGTGTACTCTGTGTGGTGTACTCTGTGTCTCTGTGTGTGTCACTTTGTGTCTCTGTATGGTGTTGTAATGTACTTTGTGTGTGTCACTCTGTGTCTCTGTGTGGTGTTGAGGTGTACTTTGTGTGTGTCACTCTGTGTCTCTGTGTGGTGTTGTAGTGTACCGTGTGTGTGTCACTGTGTCTGTGTGTGTGTCACTCTGTGTCTCTGTGTGTGTTACTCTGTGCCTCTGTGTTGTGTACTTTGTGTGTGTCACTCTGTGTCTCTGTGTGTGTCATTCTGTGTCTCTGTGTGGTCTTACAGCGCAGGTGGTACCCCTCTCCGCGAACGTCCCCCCGAGAGACGGGAACTTGACCGACTCTTACAGCCTCCCTCCTCTTGCCGCTGAGCCAGGAGTGAACTGTGGCCGATTCTGCTTACCTTTCAGGTACTCTGGACTGGCGCTTTGATTTTGACCTTACCTGGCGCTTTGATTTTGACCTTACCTGGCACTTTGATTTTGACCTTACGTGGTGCTTTGATTTTGACCTTGTCTGGCGCTTTGATTTTGACCTTACCTGGCGCTTTGGCTTTGCCCTCACGTGGTGCTTTGACCGGATTAGGCGCGTTTGTCTGTTTGTAAAAAGATAAAAACTTCGTTACACCCAGATTTCGGGGGTTTCTAGAAATCTTGACCTACATCAAAAGCTGGCATTATCCTACCTGTAGGAGAAGTTTGATTTCGTTGATGTGTATATTTGGTTATAGAGAAAACATTCATTGTCTTTTAAAGAAACTGAACAAAGAGCAAACACTTTACCTTCGATTTTCTCAAAACATCATTTTTCGGGATAGCCCCCCTGTGCTTAAAAGCGACCATTTGTAAAGGATAACTTGAGGCTCTGACAGAATTGTGAGGCAAAACTTGAGGTTCTGACAGAATTGTAAGGCAAAACTTGAGGTTCTGGCAGAATTGTAAGGCAAAACTTGAGGCTTTGACAGAATTGTAAGGCAAAACTTGAGGTTCTGACAGAATTGTAAGGTCAAACTTGAGGTTCTGACAGAATTGTAAGGCAAAACTTGAGAAACCAACCGAGCTGTCAACGCCTTTTAAGTCCAGGCTGTGTCAGTGGCGCACTGTGGGTTGAGTCCAGCCGAGCCCATAGACGTGTGTTATCATATCCTAGACCGCACATTCTGACGTCATTTCGGTTCTAAAGTTTAAATGTTTAAGTTTAAGCCAGGGATGGGGGGCACGCACGGTGTATGGCTTGTGATATTGTTTCTCGTAAACATTCGTCGGGTTTTGGAAGACTTGGTGTCCAAATGAATAGTATACGAAAGACAAAGTTCTAAAAGTACGTTATGAAAGACAAAGGTTCTAAAAGTACGTTGTGAAAGATAAAGTTCTAAAAGTACGGTATGAAAGATAAAGGTTCTGAATATACATTATAAACGATAAAGTTGTAAAAGTACGTTATGAAAGATAAAGTTTTAAATGTAGGTTATGAAAGATAAAGTTTTAAATGTAGGTTATAAAAGATAAAGTTCTAAATGTACGTTATGAAAGATAAAGTTCTAAACGTACGTTATGAAAGATAAAGGTGTAAATTTACGTATCAGCAATCTGGCGATTTGACGGGTGCTCTGGTGGGGTTTGCTCCTTCTTTCCTGTCAAAAATCTGTCGTCATTTCTTCCCCTCCTCCTTCTCTTTGTATGTTACTCTCAACAAATAACTCTATTCGTCGGTAGTTATATGACCTAATTGCACTGTAAGTGCTGTGAAACTTGTACTAAAACTAAATTAAAACTCTGAGCTCTTCCCCTTCCCCAGCCAAGGGCACGCAAATGCTGACAGAAACAGTTTTTACTTATGCATCTTCACGGCTTTGGGGGGCTGGCTGCTTTGGACTGTCGCCTACCTACTCACGGACTGGGATCTCGGCTACAGAACCTGGTATGTATCTCATCTCTTGCGTCTGCGTCCCCTTGCGAAAGACAAATATTTTCAAAGGGAGCGTAAACACGCCCCGTTATGAAAGACTCCTCAACAAATAACTGTTCATCGGTAGTTATATTATGACTTAATTGTACTGCAAGTGCTGTGAAACTTTTACTGAAACGTGCGTTGACAAGTATTTTGAATGGGAGCGTAAACACGTCTTGTTATCAAAGACAAGTATTTTCAATGGGAGCGTTAAGAAAGACAAGTATTTTGAGTGGGAGCGTAAACACGCCTCGTTATCAAGGACAAGTATTTTCAATACAAGTATAAACACGTTCCCTTACGAAAGACAAGTATTTTCAATGGGAGCATAAACACGTCCCGTTATGAAAGACAAGTATTTTCAATGGGAGCATAAAGGTGTCCCGTTATGAAAGTCAAGTATGTTCAATGGGAGCATAAAGATGTCCCGTTATGAACGACAAGTATTTTTAATTGGAGCATAAACACGTCCCGTTATCAAAGACAAGTATTTTCAACGGGTGTGCAAACACGTCCCTTTATGAAAGACAATTATTTTGAATAGGAGCATAAACACGTCCCTTTATGAAAGACAGGTATTTTCAATGGGAGTCGTTATAAAAGACAAGTATTTTCAATGGGAGTCGTTATAAAAGACAAGTATTTTCAATGGGAGACGTTATAAAAGATAAGTATTTTCAATGGGAGTCGTTATAAAAGACAAGTATTTTCAATGGGAGCGTAAACACGATCAAAGGTCTTACTGCAAGGCGGTGCATTTGATGTCCGAGCAGACCATCGAACTGAAATTATAAAAAACTTCTCGAAGATCTGACTATTCAGAATATAGAGTAGACCTTTTAGCCTATGAGTTACTTACTGTAACAATACAGTGGAATCTACAGTAACGAATCCTGTCCAAGACATCTGTCTGTACAAACAACCAAATCATATCTGTAAGCCCTTTAGCAAAGGCGGAAAGATCAAACAAGTATATATCCACGATGTGTATCCATCGGCAACTTCTCTCGCCCACATTGCTTTATCTTGCACATATATACAATGATGCTAGATCATCGGAGAGCACACACATACACAGACACACACACACACACACACACACACACACACACACACA